GTTGTTTCTTTCACGATGTATACCTTGTAATATACAATATCAAATAAAGAAATGATGTTTACCTATTGGGATAACCCAAAAAAAAAAAAAAAAAAAAAAAAGTTCCATGTTTTATATTTGATTTTTTTTCCAGATATTTATTTTAAAGAAAATGAAAAATACTTAATATAAAATTTATTAATTTATAAACTTATTTGATAATTTATTATTATTATTATTATTATTATTTAAAAAAATTATTTTAAATTTTCAAAATAATAAATTTATTTAAAATACTATATTTGTATATCTATAAATTAAAAAAATTAAGCATTAATAATTAATTTAACTGTAGTACAAGTGGACACATGTTTTTTATTTTATACATATATAAAATTAAATTATTTTTTAAAACTTAATAAATAATAAATCTATTATTTAGTAAATATTAGAAAATGTAATAGATTACATAAGTGTTGGAACAAAAAGTATTTGTATAATTGTGGATTTAAATTATATAATTAATTTAGTTTATAAATATATAGTAAAAAAATCAATATAATAGATTTTTGAAATTAGTAATTTTGTTATATTGACATACTTGTAATATTGAATTGATATTATGTACCTTGATTTAGTTTGCATTATTATAGAACATATAATTAGTTGTATTATTAGGCATATATAAATCTTTTATTTTGATCTTATTATATTTACAAGAATAAATCTTTTATTAATAAATAATAATGGGATTTTGATAATAAAACTTTTATTTTTTTATTTTAAAAAATTAAACAGTAAAATAATTTTTTTTTTGAATATTAATAAAATTAGACAAGATTTTATTTAAATTTTTTGGGTTTAGATTTTATTTTTTTATTAACTTTGAATAATAAAGTCAACATAATTAAAATGTTATTAATTATTTTAATAAAAAATATTATGGATCGAAGGTAAAATAATTTTACATAAGAGAATTTATAAAATAATTATTATTTCTTTATTCTTATAAATTTATTCAATAATAAATTTATTATAGAAAAACAAAAAACAAAAAAAAAGTAAAAAATTGTTACAAATCTTTTTCCATGCAACTGAAAAATCAGCAAAATCAGTTTTTAGCTAGAGATTTCAATATATTAGCGATTCTTGAAGTTTAAATGTTGAACGTAATTACTGGTATATAGAAAAGAATAAACATAATATAATTTTTTTTTTTCTAATATTGTTTTTAATATATTAAAAGTAATTGTATTTTTCACAATTAAAATATAATTCTAAATAAAAAGAAATTTTTTAACAATATAATTACATTAGAAAATTGAATTTTTTATTAAGTTTTTTTATTTAACCAATTTTCTAATATTCAACGCTTGCATTTTCTTCAATTACTATTTTTTTTAAAGATCTAATTAAACGAATAATTAAACTGAACATTGATCTTGTACATTTACGCTTGTCAACGTCGACCAGGGCAATATCATTTATCCAGTCAGGAAAAATGTACAATAGAAAAAAAAAGATCACGCGATTTATGAACCAAGATTCCAGAAAGACCTGATATTCTCGCGTAGTTTCTTTGGTTTTTCCAGGCAGGCGTAGTTTGATATATTTCCATCGCTATAACATAATACCTGCCATGAATATTATTATAATTGCAAAAGGGAATGATAAATGACATTTTAGTAAGGCAATGAAAAAAAAAAGACATCTATGAATACCACCGAGGCTCCTCAAACGCAAACTGAATTACACAGACTCCGTTAACGCCTACTGATCCTAATCATATACCAATAAGATTTAGATAGAGTCAGTCTTCGATTAACCGAAAGATATGATGTTGCGTCCAATGAAGTTCGCTGTAGGAATAATGCCAAGTGATAGCATCATCGATATATCGGAAAAAGCTTTTGCGCCAAAATCAGATATTATTATAAAAGCTTGACAATAATAAGTCCTGCGGACGATTTGGTCTTACTGATTTCAATTCCCAAATGGTCTTGAGGTCTGTATGAAATATCACTTGCATTATATTTTATTTACAAAATAAACATTTTTATCTTTACAATGAATGCTTGCAATCACTTTCAGCGAAATAAACGACGATTTGTCAAACATTGATTTGCAGGATTGCCGGAAAATTCTGACGAGATTATTGAAATATCCGCCATCTCAGATCAAAGATGCATCATTATGTCAAATGATTGAAGATGTTCGTACACAAAGTCGGAATTTTGAAACCTTAACAAAATCCAGCACTCTTAATAGTTCCAAAATGGCTCAAACAGCTAAATACATTATCGCAGATTTACAAAAGTTTCAACATGGTGAATTAGATCTTGCCGACACGCTGGCATCTACCGAGGTTAGAGTAACCAAGATAATGGAGAAATGTCATCTTTTAATGAATGATTATGACAAGATAGCAAATAGTTTTTATCGAATTTCTAAAGATTTAAGGGTTCAAAATTCAAAGATACAATTGATGTTGCATGAAATAAAAACGAAAGAGTTGAATGATAGAATAAAAGCAGCTAAGAAAGGATCTCTCACGGGGTTAGGAATCGGTACATTGACAGCTATTCCAGTTGCAATATGTATTTCGCCTGTGGACAGTGGCGTAACCTTGGCGACAACCTTGATAACTGGAGGGATCATAGGATTGGCGTTAGAGAAGAGTGGTAATGAAAATGATCGTAAATTAGGATATCAAAAAAAAATTCTACAGGAAGATCAGAAATTTATCGAATCGGTTGTCAATGATATCGAGGAATTTCAACGTAACGTCAAAATATTTGAAAATCTTTGGCAGCAATACCATGATCGCATTTCCGAGATCCGAAAAATGGGTTTTACCTCACAAGAAATTCCCCATAGCTGGGACGGACCGGCAATTCAGTCAATGTGGACTCAAGTAAAGAACGCATTTGAAAATTATAGCTGCAATGTTATATTGGATTCGTAAAAGTTGCTAATACATGTATAATATAATGACAATCATGGGTGGAAAGGAAATATCATCACGATCTAATATTGATTGCTCTGTATAAGTTTTTTATCTCCGGAAGCTTTGCTTTTTCGCATACAATATAATCGTCATAAATTAACCACAAATTAGGTATATTTTGTTTTTCTTGTAATGACTTGATATCGACACGTATTTTGATGACGTGATCAATTGAATATTTTATGTACAAAAAACTGCATACATGCATTCTACAGTAAAAGGGGCTTGAAAAAAAAAAAAAAACAGGGGAGGCGTTAAACTGTTCTAGAATTTTAATTCCCACAGACTTCTGTGTGGGTCATGCTGCGTATCGTATCACAGGATTAATTAGACACGGTTTGCAGCCAATGAGAATTAAAAAAA